AAGCGTACATCATACACCAACACCAATGATGGTTCCTACCCACCACACGTGTACATACGGCAGTGAACAACATCATCGACAAGAACCGCAACAAAAGTTGCTTTAGAGCCGTAGAGAGTAGTGAAAGGATAAAATAATAAATAGAAGCAACATATCTTGCTTTAAAAAATCTGAGGGAAACCTTGCAAGTGTGTAGGCATAACCGTTTCAATAAGTTTGAGAATGGTCGGAACTGAAAATTAAAAAACGCAGCATTTTAAAGTTGTAAGGTAGTTTATGATTTAATGTTAACATATTAAACATTTTTAATCAACGTGGTTTTGTTTTAGTGTTGATGTGGTTTTTCTTTTCTTTAAATTCCTTTTTTTTTGTCAAGAGCGGAAAATGTTTTCCATATACATTTTGAGTTACCATATCTGCCATATGAAAAGATCCATCACTGAAAGGAGCATAACTTTACTGAACCACTTTTTACCACTTATTATTCTTTTTCAACTCACACTAATTTGCCCGCACCCTCGTTCAAAGGTTTTTTTTTTTTACTTTCAGAACGTCCTGATGATGGATTTTAAGTTTTCTGTTTTTAGTAAATCACAATAGCGAGCGAAGGAGGAGGAGGCTGAAATTCAGGCTAGATAGCTCGAGGATATCTGACCTCCTAATCACAGCATATTCAAGAATTTAGCATATGTGATTAGACCATTATTTGTAAAACAAAAATAAAATAAGAATGACAAATAAAAAAAATACATCTTGAGTCATGTACAGCTTTTATAGTAATTGTCTGTTCAGTTAGGTTCAGTATGTCTCCACAAAAGAGCGTATTCTTGATCAATGAGCACGAATTTCTCGCATCGCTAGAGAGTGCTTTTTGACCCACCACACCAAAACTACCTTCTTAATAGAGTATATTTAACACTGTCAGGATTAGAAATTCGAAAGGGTTTATTTTACTCAGGAATCAATCAAGTTTTAACCTTTGCTTTCAGGGGCGCTTAATTGCCCCCGCAGGGATTTCGCCCAGAAGGCGAAATCCCGAGGAGGCACTCTAGTAAACTCGCGCGTATATTAAGGAAAGTACCTACAGTTGAAATATACTGTCAGTGTGCCAGAAAAAATCTCGATTTGCTTGAACAGGGGCGGCGAGGAATCGGTGGGTAATGATGACGTTTCTGTTGTTTGCGCCCGCAAGTACGAAATGGCTAGGATGACGTTAAGATAGAAAATCCCGAAGGGACCGCTTAAGTAGATTTTGTGACATTTATTGTGCAGTCATACTTCGATATTCTTTTGCGTTACGTGTTATCAGTGACATTCTGAGTAGCTGTTTTGAAAGTTATGGACCAAAAGACACTCGTTAAGCGCAGATGAAGTTATAAGGTGCGTATAACTGTGTATACATAAACACTTGGAGAGTTTGCCAGACACAAGTTCACAAATCTTTGATTGGAAACCTTGCCAGACACTCTTTCTCTCTCTTTGACCGGAATAAGACTCAGCCCCAAACAAGCAAGACGTGTGAACAACGGCTAGCTTATCACTAGCAGAACGATTACAGAAATTCGCCGACTGTCAAATTCTGTGCTGACTTATTCCCTGCTCACAGATGTCCTTCCGCTATAAAGTTTAAAATAAGACTAGAATGCGCGAGAGTGAATTGATCAAACGTCCTTTTAACTGTTTTAATTTCTAAGGCCTACTTCCCGGCAAATAAAATGAACTGAATGTAAAAAGTGAAAGAGAAATAGCGAAAAATTCAACTTCTAATTAAATCTTTTCTTATGGTTTAGAATTTAACTATTCTCGAAATTGAGGATGTTTTGATCAAAGCTGTGTCAATCGAACTGAAACTGTGCATGAACCTTGCGTTTCCTGTATTTAGCTCACCTATTGTATGGAATATGTGTGAAAAACTTCATTATGAATCGGTAAATTTCAAAGAGCTACATAACGAGCAAGAATACTATTGACCGACAATATACAGAGCAAAGGCAGCTGTAGTGTCAACTATTACTAGTATGTGGTCGACTTAATCAGAGGGTACGGTTTGTGAAACTGACCTCAATTTTACAGCTTTAAACGGAAGCCCTTAAACGTGATTTGGTGTGAATGGGTTATAAAATTACCTATCTGGTAAAAAAAGCTTATTTTGCGAAATCAAAGACGAGTCGATGTGTTAAATGAGTGCAATTAGTCACCCATCCGCGTAACATGAAACACAGAACATGAAAACATCCCAGGTACTTAACTGTGGTCAAGAAAAAGTCTTTAGAAAATTGAACGTTAATGCATCAAAAAGCCAAACAGTTAAAAACCAAAGTCAGAACCGCTAATTCGCTATCCCCGCAGAATCAAGGGTTATATATTTAATAACTGCGAACAATCTGATCAGTTCTTGCTGTATTACCTAACCATTTCATTTCGCATGGGCTTTATTTTCAGCGTAAGGTGACATGCACTGAAAAAGGTTATACTTTCCCGTAACATTTCAGTTTTCCTAATGTGAGATATCCTTCCTCATTTGAGCTATCCAAGTCTCCCAGTTTGATCTGTGTTACGGGAAGAGCAGACTTATCTGTCAGCAGACCGCTGTCCTCTCTCCATCCACTGCTGTAGCCCCCATAATCGCAGTTGCACTTTTCACCATTGGAGCACGAGTTTGTTACTCCGCAAGCGCACATGTTGGTGTAACCAGTTGCGCCACCCCAGTAGTACATCCGTGTTCCATCACGTGACTCCCACCATGCATAGCTGGCCTGAATAAACTGAACATCATTGTTGCATTCAAACTTGATAAACTGTTCACATTCCTGCGAGACTTGAGAGAGTGCCTCTAGCTGGGCGATGCTGACTCCAGTATAATTTACCTTTTTACTGTAGCAACCCACTCCACTGCAACCTGGAATGTTACCAACATGGGTTCTATTCTCACTATCGTGACTGATGATTGTCACGCCAATTCCTCCTTTGTCACGCATGTCACAATACACGTTGAAGGGAGACACGCCTCCGTCGCCATCAGGATCGATTATGTAATCTCCTGAAGAGCCTGTTTTTAAGCTGCTGCAGGACGTGGGATTGCGCAGTAGAGACGTTGGCTTGACGACAGCTTTTATGTAAAAAGAGAAAATAACCATCAGTGATGTGTTACCGTTTTTCCGGGGAAGAAGCCCATGGGTATTCCCTCCCGAATTGCCCCACCCCGAGGCGGTGTAAGGCATAAAAAAAGATGAGCATAACCTCAGAGGGTTGGGATTTTAAAAGCAACAACAATTTGAACCGGGTTGAAAATGAATTTCCACGGTTAGAGAAAGGGAAAAGGTAAGCGTCTCAAGAAGCGTTCACGGTAACGTTATCAAGACTCAATGGTCGTTGTTGGTCTTGTTATCATGGCTGAATAGATAGGAAATTACCTATACTAAAAAATGGAAAAGAAATCGTCGATTTCTGGAATAAAGCGGTATAATATACAGTGGACGCTCTCGTAAGCGGTCACCCTTGGGATGTGAAAAAGGTGTTCGTAACTGGAGCTGCTGGCTGCTTACTGGAATGAAAAATTCAGAGTTTCTATGGGAGTCGAGAAAAACGCAGTTTTGTGAAAACGGCCGAAAATGCAGCAGTCCACTTATAAGAGTGTCTGTCAAGAGAGCTTCCACTGGATTCAATTCACTTCAAAGTCTCACAGCATGAGCATTTTGAATGTCTAGTTTTTCTTTTAAGGCTGCTTCCTCTATTTAACATTTGCTAGGCGGAAACAATTTTTTTAACTTTATTACCTTGCACAGTCAATGTGGCCGAGGACGATACTGCTCCAAGAAAATTTTTTGCTTCGCATGTGTACAATCCACTATCCTGTGACGTCACATCGGTAATAATCAGACCATCACGTGACTGGAATACTCGCTTGTCCGCGGGAAGGCTAGAATTCTCTTTCAGCCACGTGACCTGAGGCGCTGGATTTCCTTTAACGTCGCATTGCAACGAGGCTATACCAGTTTCGTTCACCACCATTGACAATGGAGGTAACACAATGGAAGGAGCTGAGATGGATTCGCCAGGGTCGCCCTTGGGTCCTTGAGGTCCTTGATCGCCTTTAGGCCCAGGGGGCCCCTGATTTCCTTGAGCCCCTTTGTCGCCTTTTGGTCCCTGTAGTCCTCGAGGACCTGGCGGTCCATGTTTGCCTGGGTGACCAGGACTGCCTCTTTGTCCTCTGGGACCTCTGGGGCATTTTACAGGACAGGCCAGCTTACCCAAAGCAATTATCAGTCCTCTGACGTCATCAGGATTGACAGGTTTGCCTTGTTTTGAGATATCACTATCATTTCCTGCAGAACGTTTATGACGAGTGTGCGGTAACAGGTCTGCAAAAAAGTAAAGAACACGATTTTACATTAGGATTATTATTTATTCGCTCGAAATATACCGAAAGTAAATTCGAAGTTTGAAAGCGTTTTTCTTTTTTTGTTTACCATTTTACCAAACTGATATTTTAAAGCAGCTGTAACTGTCACGAAAATTATCAGGCATTTTCAACCAAACTATCAAGTGAAACAATATAACAGTTCAAAATTAACAATATCATAAAAGACGGAAGTAAAAATAACACTTTTAAATACAAACTAGAGGGAGGCACGAATGGATAAACTTCAAAGCTTTTTAATCTTCTTTAAAAACTTGTGTATCGTAAAGAAATTGCAGTCACTGCAACGTACATTTTTTTCAGTGTTGTTTCTAACGTTTGAATTGACTTGACAAGAAGCGCTTTGTACGTTAAATTCTATAACGAGTCCTGTGGAGTACTACTTGTTGAAGTATATGAAAGGGTAGCAGGAAATCTGTCATTTCGGTCAAAATGCCCAAAGGGATAGCGGATGCATTTTACGGCTGTAAAAAATAGAGAAGACGTTCTCTCTCTAGCCTGCGAACAGCAGACGCATTTCCGGTACAAAACAACCTCCCACCTCCACCCCAAACCCCCCCCCCCCCCCCCCCCCCCCCCC